GTATACAGAAATGCACTGCCTTACTTAACTGGTACACACTTTAACAAACCTTGACAGACAATGCCAGTGCTTTCTAATAATTATTTACCTTAAATATGTATGTTAGACACATTTAAGGTAATGGATGTTAACTTACCATAAGAAGAGGCATTAAAGAGTTCAACATTAAAGAATATGCATTTGCCAGTTGTCATCTGTCGTTTGTGTGCAGCCAGCATGATCTCTCTTATTTTTTCTGCTCCCATGCACATAATCACCACTGCAGAGAAAATCAGACAGAGACAAAAAGTCATTTAATAGGCTCATCAGTTTATTTGGACACAATAAGTTATGAAAAGGGAAAATTAATTTAGGTAAGCTTTAGTGTAATTTACGTTAAAAGATAACCCAAGCTCCACAAATAATAGTGAAAATAATAACAATTCAGTCGGATTCACAGTCGGGTGGGTGGTGTGGTTTTGCCACACTTGTATACATTTTTCACACAGTCATCAAATAATCGTAGTTCCTCACAGATTTTCATTCCAAGCACATCAGATATTTAATGCATGTAATTTACTGTGTAGCCAGTTACAATCTTTCTCGATGTGCAGGTCAGTGCTCCACAATAGCATCGAACCCCACATGTCCCAGATGTAATTCTTTTTTGAGGAGCATATCATGTTAATCAAATTCTAACACACATACCTCACATAGCTTCAAATGATGAAAAGAACCATCAAAGTGAAAACAGTAAGAAATTTACCACAAGCCTATCTCCAGCACAGCTGCTGATAATTATTACTGTAAGCATCAGGCCTGATGTGCACGTATACACAGAGCGCTCTGTGGACTATTTCCAACACAAAACGTAACCAGTGGATGTGTGGTGTGTAATCCTGGATGCACGTCACTCTGATTAGAGCCTGCAGATGGAGCAGATACTGGACCAGCTGCCGTCAGAGACAGCTGGCTAAAGCTAATCAGCTGATGGACTCCATGCAGTGTGCTGCATTTGGGCCACATTGGCACAATCAGTGCTGTTACTTAAACTGTATATTTTCAGTTTAATCAGTCATGTTAGTCAGACACCGTCCTCACATCTGATGGAACAGATAAGCTTTTAACTTAATCAAGCTGTCTGTACAGACTGCATCATGACTCATATTTCATTTCAAAATGTGATTCGATCTTCAAGATGAAGAACTTACTGACCCTGCTGGGCTGCTTGATGTCGCTGCACAACAGACTAAGCATTTAGGTACACACTAATGAACTGTAAGGAAAAGATTCATTACAGCAGCCCAGCTTCTTCCATTTCTCAGTATTTGGTGTTCATATGCAGATGTGGACAGGGGCCAGCATGGTACCAGCTGAGCATGCCTGAGAACACATCCTAAAGAGGAAGGTGCTCAAGAGGTATGTTGATCAGATACTGAACTGCACAGCTGACTCATATCAACACAAACAACCAAGTTGTCTCCAGATGTACAAGCTCCTGTTTCTAAGATGGAGTTAATACACTACATAGATGAAACCTATATTTCGTAACCTTTATATACTTAATATAATTTGTTGGTTTACCACTTCAATCACTGCCAAGGGCTTGAACTGTAGAACAACCAGGAAAACACGCAACACATCAACTACACATTTAAATAGTGCTTTTCTACTCTTGCTGAGCACTCGGAGCATTAAGAAGCTGTGTACCGATGAAACACAGTCAAAGCTAGGTGCAGGTTCACTGTTCACTGTGTCTTTCTCAGGAACAACACTCCAAGACTCCTGCACTTAGGGACACACCTCACTTGCTTTTACTGTATGTAACTGTATCCACTGCCACTCATTATCATTTGATCAACATTATTGGATTTTTATTATAATTATTATTGGATGTTTCAAGTTCTGTCGAGTAGTGGACTTCTATAAAATTGAAACTGGTACTGGTGCTTTTCTCCAAAGCACTTTCTAGTAAAAGTCTTATTCGTCCAGTCTCACACGCTTTCATACCAGGACTTTAGTCTAAAACTAAAACAGCTGCACTGGAGGCAACTTATCTCTTGAAGGCAACTTCAGCATCTTGTCTCGGAGGAGCCAGCGATCCTTCTTTCACAACCAAAGTAGTTGCATTGTGCAGACCATTACAATGCAGAGTTTATATGAGTCCTACATTGGTTCACTTTTTATAAGAAGTACCAGCTGCTTGGTGGCATGACACACTAATATGCCCTGAGAAAAAAGAGACATGTGTGTAAGCAGTAAACCATAACAAGCTGATTAGAGGACGTTTTAGTTTAAACACAACACAACTGTGTCTTTTTCCCTTTTGCTCTTTGGACAAAGCTGTGATGTCCGTGGCACGGGTAAGCACATGCTTTGGTAGACTGGTGCTGAAATGGGTCAAACGGCAGGTGTTCCTACTCATGGCTGTCCAAATGTGACAGGAAAAATTGTTGGAGATTTGATGCAGAGCCAAGATAAAATGACTAAAATAAACCCAGAACTGATATTGGTATTATGCATTGTATTATCCACCAGGAGGAGTCGTATATGTCAGTGCTAGAAATGGACCACGCTACGTTTTTTACAGTTTGATTCACTGCAAGTCAGGATCAGTGCTGGATTTGTATTTTTCTCAAAAGAAGAAAGCTTTACACACATACAGTGTGGAGACATTATTGTAGCATCTTTAACTTCAAATATAAAACGTCTTGATCCTGTTGTGATTTGGTGCTGTACAAACTGAACTGAGACATGCTCAGGAGATGCTGGTTCTCTTTGGATGCACTTTCATGTGTAACTTAATCTCAGCGAATAGTTGAACAAATACAGATGCAGCTTCTTCTCATCTGTCCACGCTGTCCAGTGCATTTGTTCAAGCTCCAAAAAGAATTCTGGAATTAAAGTTAAAGTGCAGAAAAAGTCACTAAACTATGAGTGAAACAGCAACAACACTTTGTGAGCAAGTGTGCACACTTTATTCACACTTGTGGAATACTGATTTAATATAAAATTAAATTATTTTACATTTGAGTTCAGACTGGTCTTCACACTCCAACACGCTGGGAGTCGGTGTTTCTCGAATGCCTTTGAAGTAAAAACTGACCACTTTTCAAATTGTAATTGTAAAATTTTTATTATTATTATTCAATTCAACAATGCAAAGTCCTCAAAAACTAGAAAAAAAATTAATCAAATTAATAGAGTTCATATAAAGCACCTTGATTTGCATATTAATTGCAGGAATTTAAAGATAATCATCTGAAGAATTTAAGAAATCCATGTTAGTAAAGAGACTCCTCACTGCTCTGTAGACCGCAGAGCCTTTTCTGTTTACTTTAAATATTTAATGATCAAAATGAACGAAGTGAGCCGAGGAGGAAAAAGTCAAATGTAACGAAGGATTTTGCTGGGTTGTATAAAAGGGTTTTTTTCCCCCCCGGGGGCCCAAGGAATAAAAAATAAATAAACCAACAAACACATGGCTGCACAAACAAGGCTTGCAATTGAAAAACAGTAACCCCAGCGCCCCGTCTAATAAGGAAGATTCAGAGTCTCGCTGGAACATTCCTCACAACTCTGTCACTTAAACACACCTCCTGAAATATCCCTTGAGTCAGTGGGACAAACTTCACCTCAGTACTGCCAGCACTGTAGCACCCTTTAATTACACTGGGCTCTACACACTACTGGCCCTGTATATGCTCTGCAAGCCATTCCACGGGGCAGCGCTTGCAGCCAGCAATATTTCAAAACTTCTGGATTTTCCTTTTTGCTGGAGCGCTGATGCTCGTTACAAATGAACTCAGGAATGGGCCAGCACATGGAGCACTTACTGAGTGCCCACACTGTATTTCAGATGCCCTGTTTTGCCTGTTAGCTTTCGAACTAGAACATAGTGAAAATGGGCAGAGGCAAATTGCAATGCCATTTCCATAAAACAACAAGCAGTGATGTTGGATGTGCTTGTCAGACAGGTGAATGGGATAAGGAAAAGAAAGGAGGGTGGAACATAAATATGTATATGTAGGTCAGTTAAACAGAGTCCTTAAGATACAGAAATCAATATTTATTTCCTGACTAACTGTTTCTCCTTAGTCCTGGGGTACATATCACTGTCTGAACCTTGCAGCCTGATTATCAAGTCACTTGTGGTCGCAGAGTCAAAGTGGATCTCGAGTCCTACCGGAGCCCTGGAGGAGTTCTGTCCTTCATACAGATTCAGGATCAGAGTGCAGGTCTCACATGGACTAACAATGGAAATGAACCAATCACAAGAAAGGTGCTTTATTTTCAGTTTGTGTTAGAATCTTTATGATGTGATGTTACAAAATCATCTATAACAAATAGTTTGGGTTTTTTGTTTGCATACGTTGGGAGAAGCACATAGTTTTGAATTATTGGAGATAAATTATCAAAATTTCAGGGGCGGGATCACGCCTCCAAACACGGCCCTTCCATGTATTTTCTATATATGACCCGCACCCCCCGCCCCAGTTCTACAAGCTGTTCGTTCGCGTTTTCGTGCCCCACCCATCTCTCATTAGTACACGGGGGGATCTGCCAGGCCCGGGAGCTGTCGCCAGTCCCTATCGAGGCCTTCAATTCTTGATTAACCCTCTCAAGGCAGGCGTTGCCGATTTACAACAGTTAAAAACTAACAACCTGATTACCCCACATACATATTTTATGAGTTTTTTTTACTCAGAAGTACCACTGGAGGACTTGGTTGTGCATTAGCAACAAAAGGTTTAATTTGAGCATAAGCCATTTGCCTTTATATACTAAAACTAAGCTAAAACTAACCCCTAACCCTACATCTTACATTGTGATTTTATTTGCATTTCAAACTGAGTATAAAACAATTAATTTTTTCAGTTATCAGGAAAATCAAACTAAAGGATCAAATTCCAAATGACATCATCTCAAAAAACCTGGATCGTCAGATTATAACGGGCAAAGCTGACGAAAGCCTGAAACTGAAGCTGATAAACATGTGATTCACTGCCTTTAATATTCATGGTTTAAAAGCATAAATGAAGCCTTTAGAAAAATAATATTACTCTTCAAATCTGTGCTTCACGCTTCATTCAACATAGAAACATGACACCCAGCTTGACTTAAGGTTTTATTGTACAATATCAGCTCTGGGAATTTGGGACACGGTCTAAAGTAATAACCCAACATTTGGTTCTCAGTCAAACAGAGGAAACATATCAAATCTTTAAACTTTTACATTTGATGAAAATCTCATTTGTGTCTTATTTTTCAATGGCAACA